TGGACCATTTGGAAGTCAACTTCAGATTGGACGGGAATCGGGTTTAGGGTTTAGGGTCGCAAGGAATCTGAAACTGGCCTGCATCAGCTTGTCGCGGGCTTTGAGGTTCAACTGCTCCGTCTTGAGGACGGCCTGGTCGTACCTAAGCATCGGCGGAGGGTTTAGAGCTTGTGAGTTTCAGGCCACAGTTGTTCTTTACTTTTGCACTAAATCTCAAATCCAACATTCCCATCCCTAAACCGCCGAAACCCTAAACCCTGAACCCTGAAGCTTCAACCTGTTGAGCCCCTTAGAAGCAGCCAAGGCTAGAGGGGTTAACGGGTTTGGGGCTACAGGGGCTACAACACAAGGCCCCCACAAACAAAATTCGGTGCGTCCGCGTGTCCGAGACATGTCAGAAGCTGAGCACCGTACACACTCCGTGAGCAATCATACCCCCAAAGGCACCCAACATTCCTCCAATCAAATCAATCACAAAAGCTTCATACTGGTATGCTTCAATTATTTGGGCTATATTGCTCACGTGAGGGGGAATGGCAGCTCCGAGACACTGGGCATTTCTCAACGCTAATGCTGAGCTTCGCGGCTCTCTGCGCTGCGCCGCTGTCAGCGTCAACGCCTCAGCTACTACTGCTCATGCTGCTACTACTATACGACGACCACAACGAGGACGACTACGACTGCGACGACTACGACTGCGACGACTACGACGAAGACGAGTACCACCACCACCACCACCACCACCACCACCACCACCACCACCACCACCACCACCACCAGCAGCAGCAGCAGCAGCAGCAGCAGCCGCAGCGCCAGCACCAGAATCGCCACCAACACGACTTCTTGCTGCTGCCCCTCACTGCGAGTCCGTTCCCAACTTGTCATGCTGCATGCAAAGGTAGAAGTTAAGAGAGCTCAGCAGATAAGGCTTCTGAAACCTTAGTGGGGCCCTCAAGCTTCAATTCGACGGCCCTAAACCCTCAACCCTAAATACTACTCCCTCTATCTTAAACCCTAAACCCCAAAACCCCAAAAAATCCCCTATAGATCCCTTTAAGGAACCCTTTAAGGAATCCGAATAAACCCTGGTGAAGGTGTTGAAGTTTTGGCTGAGGCATCCACTGATTCCACCTCACGAGCTCGGATCTTTGCCAGCTCCTCGCTTGCTTCTGGGCTCTTGTAGGGGGTTTCCTTAAGGGTTCGTTTAAGAGTTACTACAAGGGTTTCCATAAGAGGTACTGCAAGGGTAGTCTAAGGGTACTATAGGGGTGTGGGCTTTAGGGCTTGGGCTTCGGGTTCAGGGCCTAGCGGGATTAGGGTTTTGGGGTTTAGGGTTGAGGGTTCACAGGATTAGGTTTTAGGGTTTAGGCTTAGGGTTTAGGGTACGGGGTTTAGGGTTATAGTATATAGGATTCTCTAAAGGGCTGGATCATTACCCTTCGCCTAACCGAAACTTGGTTTCGGGCTGAAAGGCTTCGGGATATTAGGGTTTATAACCTCGAGCTGAAGGGTTTCAAGATGTAGGGGTCGGTGTTCCAAGTTTGAAGATTGCAGGCTTTGGGCTCAGAGCTTGGGATTTAGGTCTCAGGGTTTCGAGTTGGGTCCTAAGCCCTAAACCCTGAACCCTGAACCCTAAACCCCTAAACCCGAAACCCCAAACCCTAAACCCTACACCCCAAACCCTAAACCCTACACCCCAAACCCTAAACCCTACACCCCAAACCCTCAACCCTAAACCCACCCCAGAACCCATCAGCGAGCTTTGCGCACCCCCCTTCGGAATCCGTCTGAGGCACAGCTCATACCCAGAGACTCCCTTAATTAAGGACTTTGCCTTACATTATACTGGGACCCTTAATATGACCTAAGATATATTCCTTTAATTCAGGGACATGGGAGTCTCTGCGTAGAACTCACGCCCATCCCTATCCTACGCTCTAAACCCTATAACCCCTAAACCCCAAACCCCAACCACTGAATCCTACACCTTTTAGGCCCTAATCCCCAACCACTAAACCTTAAACCCTCAGCCGTAAGCCTAAATCTTAAACCCTAACCCCCAAATCCAAATCCATCTCTAAGAATAATAGTTTGGTGGCTCAGCCTCGGGAAGGCCTCCAGTCTCTGCATAAGAACACGGACCGTAGTGAGGCCGGGCACCATGGTAGTAAGCTCTTGCACTAAGTCCTCAAGGGACCAGCCTCCGGGCAATCTCCTGACACGAGCATGGGCCTGCGTGTCAAAGATGGCAAACCTGTCTTGCTGAGCCTCTGTGGCCACCGCTCCTGCGACCCGATGGCCCGGGTATACCAGGCAAAGGAAGTGAGCGGCATGCTCCTAACCTCCGGTCGATCCAACTCGGCCAAAGTGGAAGTTCCCGTGGCGGGCGGTGTGCCTGGGCCCCTCATCAGTTGCGACGTGCGCGGGAGCATTCCCGAGCGGCCGAAGCGTTTGGTAACAAGACTTTGGGGTTTCTTCGTCGACTTTGGGGTTTCTTCTTGTAAATATAGTAAACATCGTAGAACATACCTGCAAAAGCTATTCTAATTAAAATACCAAGCTGTGTTCTGGGCTTATACAATATAGTATGATATACGTGTGGTGCCCAAAAACCTATTCTAATTATTGAGAGCATACGCAGGCCGCTTCTTCTTCGAGCCCGCTTGAGGCCACGGTGCCAGAACTACAACCGCAGCAACCACGGATATTCACTACACCTACAAACATACATACAGACATACCAATCATATGAAAAAGCCTATACTTTTCTACAACGAATACAGGAGGAGAAGGTGGGGCTTTTAAAGCCTTTGAAAAATATTAGTAAATAAGATCCTCTTAAGCCCAATAAGGGAAAATATAAAATGTCCAAAGCCCTACCTAGAGGAGAAGGAGTAAGTGGAAATCTCGTCTAAACATACCGCACCTCTGAGCCTAAGACCCGCGCCCTCCTGGCCTCCCTGAACCCCCGAACCCTAGCCTCCAACCAACCCTGAACCCTAAACCCTAAACCCTAAACCTTAAACCCTACCCTAAACCCTAAATCCTGAACCCTAAACCCTAAACTCAACCCTAAAACCTAAATTCGAAACCCTAACCTAAACCCTAAATCCTAACCTAAACCCTAAATCCTAAACCATTAACCCGTGAAGCCTAACCTCCAACCACAGCAGCCAGAGACCAAGGCTTCAAGAGGAAGGACTCCACCAGGAGAGCTTCAGTCTGAAGCAAAAGGCTCGAACCCCTTGAGGTAGGGTAGGAGTCCCGGTTGCTCTGGGCCTAAGAGTAACCTAGGAATAAAAAGGGTGCCCTTTTTGGTTTAAAGGGGCTTATAAGGGAACCTGAACCCTAAAAAAGGGAATAAGGGCCTACTCTAGGTCCTAGTGCTTGAATGGGGTTTTGGGGCCCATTCTACTGTAATTATAATAAGGACCCCCCCAAAATAGTATCGGTAATTATCTAGGCCCCGAAATATTAAGTCCCAGCCGTCCTCCTCAGCTTCTGTCCGTCGAGACAGAGCTTGATTCCAGGCCTCCTGGGACAGCGAAACGAAAGATCACAAACAGAGACACTGGGGTTCTGCACCATAGCCCATAAAAGTCCTGAGTCCCAGCTTCCCGCAAACAAACCTTAACTCCTAAACCTTAAACCCAAAACCCTAAACACCATTAACCCAAAACCCTAAACCCAAAACCCTATTAACCCAAAACTCTAAACCCTATTAACCTAAAACCCTAAGCCCAAAACCCTATTAACCCAAAACCCTACACCCAAAACCCCATTAATCCAAAACCCTAGGCCCAAAACCCTATTAACCCAAAACCCTAAACCCTTATAGATCCCTGTAAAGGAACCCTAAACCGTAAACCCCTAGCCCTTATAGAGCCGGAGAAAGTTTGAGGCGACCCTAGAAACCAGTCACCCCAGGACTATACTGAACTGAGAACCCTAGCAAAAATTATGATTTTAGCTGTTTCTTAGGGATTATATTATCCAAAAAATAAAAATCATTTCTCTAAGTACCCCCAGCTCGTTCCTCGAGGCTCTTGATGTGGAGCTCTTCCTGCTGGATCTTGGCCTCAAGGGTTCCAGGAGGAGTTTAATATAGAGGCATCGAGGGTTCCTTTAAAGGGTTCTTAAAAGGGGTCCTATTAGGGTTACTAGAAGGGAGATATTGGGGGTTGAAAATAGTGCGCTAATAATTAGAATACGGTTTTGGGCTATGTTATACTGTAGTTACACTAAGGAACCCCCCAAAATAGTACCGGTAATTACTCAGGCCCTTGTATTCCTGTCCAGGTTACTCTTGGGAGTCAACTGTAAGTGAGGATTCCTACGAGCTTACGGTTCAGTGCTCACGGTTCAGAGCTCAATGCCTGCAGTCGGGCTGTTTTGCCCGCCGGTGCTGGGCAGACTCTGTCTGCTTGACTTCGTTCATCTCTCAGAGATGACGAAGCTGTGAGGTTTGTGTCTGACGAACCGTCAGACGGCAGGGCGGCGAGGCTTCAGGTCAATTGTTCAAGCTCTGGGTGTTGGGTTTTGGGGTTGAGGGGTAGCATTCGGTGACTTCTGATGCCTGACCGAGGTTTCCATACAATTTCTGTCCGAAAGTTCAAAGGACGGACGCCATCCAACACCATACAACTTAGACGTAATATCGGGGGCCTTAATGATTAAAATAGGGTCTGGGGGCCCGATATACTGTAAACATAAAAACTGTCTAGGCCCCTATAGTACTTGCACACGGATTTTGGACGGATGAGTACAGTGCCAACCACGTGTCAGCTGTCCGGTGGCAGAGCAGTTTCCGAACCCGGCCTTCAACTGCTATTACTAAGGACTGAAGATTGAAGCCCTAGTGATGGTTCTGAGTTGCCCTTGATCAACTAGTAACTAGTAACTACAGACCAGCTGACCAGCTGTTGAGTTCTCTGACCAACTTGGACGGCTCTACACGCAGGTTGTTGGGTGCACTTTGGCACTTGCACTACTTGCATCACTCAGTAGGCATTTACGAACTGGGCCGTGTGCACGAGCTTAGCTGCCACCAGTTCTGGCGACATGTTGTCATCCAAACTGTCCCAAAAGTTCTTGAAGGGATCCTGGCTTTCCATGGTGTTGGTCGGCACGACAGGAGCACTCGTGACGAATGCAAGGTCTGCCGAGATTCCCATTGCTGCAAAGAGTTTGACTGCTGCTTCCTCTGGTGGCAGGCTGGAGTCGATGTGTGCAAAGAAGTCCTCACCTTCCCAACCATCTGTGTTGCATGCGGACTCTTCTGCCGAAGGCTCTTCTTCCTGTGGTGTTTCGGTAGAGTTGCTGGCAGGCTCCTCTGCCATCAGACATGCCAGGGCGGCAGCATCCTCCTGCGACAACTGGGCATCAATCGGCTTCTTCTCCGAGATCTCACTGAGGGTTCTGTGGACATCCGGTGCCTCTGCTTTCAAGGGCTGCTCTGCTGCCATCATGGCCGCCATTGCTGCAGCATCCTCTGGCGTCATCTGTGTGTCCGTTAGCTTCTTCCGGGAGGTCTCCATCAGCATTGTCATAAAGGCATCCGCCGACTCTCCAGCCGCAGATTGCTCATCTTGAGGTGCTTCATTTCTGCTGCTTGGAGGATTCTCTGCCATCATCGATGCCATCGACATTGGAGCTTCGACTGGCTTTTCCTGCGAAGTTTCTGTGAGCACCTGCCCGAAGGCCTTCGGCGCTTCTCCTGCTTCTGTCAAGCTGCTTTTAGGCCCCTCTGCCATCATGGAAGCCAGGGCCGCAGCATCTTCTGGTGACATCTTGGAGTCTGTTGGCTTCTTTTGTGAAGTCTTAGCGAGCATCTCAAGGAATGGATCCGGTGCGTCTTCCGCTTCTTCCACAACTGGCACCCCAATAGAGGCTGCTGGCTTCTCCGAAGGTGCCACCAAAGGCGCCTGCTCTTGTACCACTGGTGCCTGGGCAGCAGCCACTGGTTGATCAACTTGCCCGAAGAGCTCCAACAGAGCTTGTCGGTCTTGCATCTCCTGCTCAGCCGTCTTCTGGGCAGTTCTTTCGTTGAGCTCTCGCTGTTGCCGGCGCTGGATCACATCCCTCTTGAGGTTCAAACGGTCAGCACTTGAGACCATGTTGCGAACGTACTTCCGCAGCTTCCAGATGAAGACCTCACTTTCGAAGAATGGAGTGAGGGCTTCCTCACCCTCCTCTTTGAGACAGTTAATCATATTTCTCATGTCGGGATCCCACTTCACTGCGAACTGAAGGCATTTGCACGGCCGCTGCAGCTCAATCCTGAACTTTGGGGCCGGCTCGTCTGCGGCCTCCTCTGCTGCAGCGCTCCATGCGCGCGAGCGGTTGGCCAGGCGCTCTGTCAGAGCCTTAAAAAAAAACATAGCAAAGGATCAGCACAAGGAGAAAGAGCTGCAAAGCTATGGAGAAAAGAGCCACATCGTGGCAGAGAGCGGGCAAAAGTACCACGTCTTTCGCGGTTGCCCGATCTGTGAAGAAATACAACTCGATCATTCTCCCAGCAGCTGGTGCTGCAGCGAGACACTACTGCTTGGGCCCTACTCTCTCGAGCCACTACTATCCTGACGTCGGGGTTTCGGCTCTTCGCGTTTAAGAGCTTAGCATTTTCGGCTCCGAAAAATGGCCCCGGGCTCCTCTGGCAACCCTGCAGGCCTTTGGCATCTCAGAGATTGCAACGGACGTCAGGGCCCAGGAAGGGCTCGGAATCTGTCCTTACTGCAGTCTTCATCCTTCGATGCTCTTGCTGGCCGCCGGGGAGCCCGAGTCTTGGGAAGGATACCGAAAGTCTCTGCTTGGAGGGTCGGGGGACTTAGTAATTGGTTATTTTAGGGACTTATAAGTACCATAACCCAAGTAGGGTCCCTTTTAGGGTACTTATAAGTTTACTTGCTACCTACTTACTAAGTGCCCCGACCCTCCCAGTAGAGTTCAGGGAAAGCTGCTTGGAAGGAGCGGCTTCGTTCTCGTATTCTGACGAGCTCTGCACACTTTTCCCATATCTGTGATTGCTCTGACTTGGGAATTTTAATCGAGCCGGACTCTATGGCTGGAGCCATGGCCACTTTGCATTATATATATATATATATATACATATATATATATATATATATATATATATTTGGGCTGGAGCTATTTGGAGGGAACCCTAAACTCCAAACCCTACCGGAACCCTACACGCACAAACCCTGAACGGCCTGGACCTCCCGCTCCTTGATGGTCCAGTGGGCCGCCTTTGGACGCCAAAACAAGCCAAAGTTGCTTGCAGGGCTCAGAGGTTGAGGGCTTGAGGGGTTTAGGGCTTCAGGGTCTGGGGATTTTAGGGGTTTAGGGTTTAGGGCTCTAGGGTTTAGGGCTTAGGGCCCTAGGGTTTAGGGCTTTATAGGATTTAGGGCTTTAGTTAGGGCTTTAGGGCTTTATAGGGCTTTAGTGGTTTAGGTTGCAAGGCTCCGGGGTCGAGGTTGATGCATGTAGAGCAAGGAGAGCATAAGGTAGGAAAGAAAGAGGGTTTAGGGTTTAGGAAAGCAAGCACAAGGTAGGCAGGCGGGTAGGCAGGAAAATAGGAAGGTAGGAAAGGAGGGAAGGGAGGGAGGAAGGGAGGAAGGGTAGGCAGGCAAGAAGGTAGGAAGGTAGGTCGGTAGCTGTCTGTTCTTATGAATACAAGTTGAAGTAGGTATCGATGAAGGCATGCTTCGCTGCCTGCTTGTGCGTATCTGCGCTTACATGTGTGCGTGCATGCCTAGCACTGTTGCTCGTATCAGGGGTAATTCTTAGACAATTTCTCAAAATTAGCATGCAGATCAGCAGATCTCTCGCATGATTCGAATCATGTTGCGATGCGAACTCACAGCAACAACACTGACAACACTTGCGAGTGCCACAACCACCTACCACCAACCAACACATATTCCGACATTCTATTGCAGCAGTTGCAATGCTACTGTTATAGATGAGCCCACTATCTAGCTAGCTCCAAACTCTACCCCTGCAAAACAACCCCCAACACCTGCCTGCTTTCGGCAGCTCGCGATTTCTGGCTTCTGCTGCTCCATGGCTGTTTTCAGCGCGAAGTGCTCGTTTTGGGCCTGGAAAGGATCGAGCTTCGGGCCATCTTAAAGAAGGGAGGACGAACCCCCGGGCTCGGGTTACTATCAGGATGCTACTGTTGATGATTTAAATCCTGCACTACCTTAAGGATCCTAAACTATGGGAATTATGGTATAGTCCTTATTCTGGGTAATGCAGGATTTATCTCATCAACCGTATAACCAACTTGTCGGGTATTACGGGGAACTGAGGGTTAACCATTTTGCTATATAGGGGTTGTATAGGGACTATGCTATCCAAAAAAGGTTTGGTTACCTACTCTACTGCTAGGATAAGGGTTTAGGGTTAAAGTCAGAAGTGTAAAAAGATCTCAACCCCAAACCTTGAAAGCTCATGCACTCAAAGCCAAATCCTTGATTGAATCCTGGAACCCTTAACTCCTAAACCCTAAGCACTCAACTCTAAACACTCAACCCTAAACCCCTAAACCCTTGATTGAATCCTGGAACCCTTAACGCACACCCCTAACAAGTCCGCGAGACCCTGGGACAAATACACATCTCCCCCCCTAAACCCCCCTCAAACCCTAAACCATTCAAACCATAAACCTTAAACCTAAACCCTTCTAGACCCTTAACCCTTCTGAATTCTAAACCCTAAACCTAAACCCTAAACCACTGCCTCACGAAACTCCTCGTCAAACTTCTGACGCTGAGCATCGGCTTCCTCGATCGCCTTTCTCCTGAGCGTTCCTACATTTGGGGGTTTCCGACAATAGGGGGACCCTCATGTAGTACCCTCAATGGTAGGATCCTTCTGATAAGGACCCCCAAAATACGGTACCCCTAATTTTCGGAAACTCCCATGTAGGGGTTTGGTTTAGGGGTGTAGGGTTCATGTTTTAGGGGGCTTAGGGTTTAGGGGTTCAGGTTCAAAGGTTTAAGGGTTTAGTTTCGGATTCTAGGGTTGTGCAGGAATTAGGGTTCAGGGTTGGGTTTCGGGCTGAGGGTTTGGGGGGAATTCATCTGTAGGGCTGTGCAGTGGTGTTCCCGAGACTCTCCCTAATTAGCCCCTAAGGGCCCTAAACCCTAAGGGTGTAGTGGCTTGAGGCTCGGGGCAGGGAATTCGATTCAATTTTTAAGGCTTCAGGTGTAAGACTTGTTCGTCCTGCGCAAAGGTGAGCCTTACTTAACCCTTGACCGCGGATAAATGTCGCGTCGTTAACCTTGCAAACCAAACTCGGGGTGGAACCCCCAAAACCGAACTGCAACTTTAACTTTAATCCCTAAACCCCCCAAAAAAACTTCCGAAAGCCTCTATGGAGCACGGAAAGACTTAACGAAGCTTGCAGGAGCACTACTCCTCAGCCCCTTTGAACCCTAACAGCCCAATTCTGAATACCGTTATAAAACCTTGATTTCTGTTCGAGCCTTGGAATAACTGGCATGATTATGCCCTTATGCACCGTGACTTCAATACCCTAAACACTACTCCAATTGTTAAGCCCCTAAACTTTACCCATTAACCATTAAACCCTTGAACCCTAAATCATCAAGTCCCGAAACCCCAAAGCCTAAACCCCTTCAAACCTCAAACCCTCATGGTAACCCCTAGAGGTAGCCCTTAAGACTTTAGAGGGGCCACAGCCCCAAGTAAACAACAAAGCCTTGAACCCTCAACAACCATAAACCCTAAAACTTCAATAACCATAAACCCATGTTTGAAGGTGCCCAAGCCCCTTAACACAAAAGCCTCTGCCCTAAACCCTGAACCATCAAACCTAAGCCTTCAACCCTTCAATCTTTCAACCCTCCGAACCCCCTCTAAGCCCTGAACCCTTACCCCCCCCCACCCCCACCTATAGAAACCTGAAGCCCCTAAGAGGAGTTAGGATTCGGGGGACCCCTTGGGGATATAGGCCCTCTCAATACAGTCCCGGTTAAGAGAGCCCGAAGCAGGGTTATGAAGGGTCGCTTTCAAAAGGTCTCCCTAATGGTATACCCAGAGACTCCAATATCCGCTAATTGAAGACTATACCTTAAATGTTAGTAGGATCCCTGATATGGTTTATAAGGCATATTCCTTAATTAAGGGATATTGGAGTCTCTGGGTACCTAGGACTTGAACCCTCGTCTTCCCAGGGCCACTGCCGTTTCCGGAGCTCTGCTTCCGCCTCGGCGACCTCGGTGCGGAGCCCAGAGGATACCTCGGATTCAGAAAAGAAAGCTAAAGGCTTCCTGGGCTTAGGGTTCAAGGATTCAATTCATTAACACAGGCTTCCTCCTAGCCCTTATTCCCCAAATACCCGCTAGATTCAGAAAAAAAGACAAAGGCTTCTGGAGGAAAAGGGGTCCTTTAAGGGTGTAGGGTTTAAGAGTCAGGGTTTAGGGTTTTGGGGCTTTGGGAATTAGGGTTGAGACCTTGGATTCAGAATACAAAGCCTAGGTAACCCTTCGGGTCCATGTGCTCATATAGTATTTTCATTGGCCTAATGTACTCCCTATTCAGGTACTAGGTTTAGGGTAGGGTTTGGGGGCTTCAGGGCTCAAGGATGCTTTTCTGGCTTTTGGGATTGTTCCGGTCTTTGGGTGCTTAAGCGTTTTGGGATGTTTAAGGCTTTGCTTTAGGGCATTAAGGCTTTGGGGCTTTCGGGACTTGAGGGGGTAAGGTTCTTAGTACATTTCAGGCGCTTTCAGATTTGTTAAGGCTTTTGAGGGCGTCAAGGTCCCCAGGACGCCTTAAGATACACTGAATAGAAACCTGGAGCACTGGTCTTTTGGTAGTCGGTATATGGGCTGCTTTGAAGCGTGCTCGGAGGTGGAGGGTGGGGGGTTTGGGGACGGGTTTATGTCATCAGCAGCATTAAATTAAATTGGAGAGGGGGGGGGTTACGACACAGGAAATGTTTTTTGCTTTCCAACTGCGTTTCCGTGACCTTGACTGCCTCTAGGATTCGGGTGTTGTGATGCAGGAGGTCGGGTTTGATTTTCAGCTAATCTCTGGCTACTGCACGATCGCAAGGGTACTTTGAGTCCGATTGTTGATGTCGACCTTAGCCTTAAAAGCAATCTGCAAGCCCTAGCTACCTGTATCCCTGAACATGACCCCTTCATCACAGTCCCCTAAAACGATAAGTTGTTGGATCCCCGGGTAGATGCTAAATTCCGAAGCCTGGCTCCCCAGCCGAAGGGGGCCTCGATATTCTGCGCTGCCTCACGATCTGCGGCGTAGAGACGGAAGAGGGCCTTTGGAGGAGGTGGGGGCTCTCAGGGCTTGAAGGGCGCTTGGGTTTTTCAGAGCTTTTGGGATTGCTGGGGGCCTCGTTTGTTTTAAGGTCTTGAGGGCCTCGACCCTTTTGGAGGTTTTCAGGGTTCTTGAGGGAATAGGGTTGCTTTTAGGATGTCGGGTTGATAATCGGGTTTAGGGGCTTAGGGCTGATGGCCCAAGGGCAGCTCTGCGGGGCCTAAGCCGTAAAGCGTACACCCCTAAACCCCGAAATAGACATGGGCGTTCTGGAGCATCCCAGGGCCCTTGCAGCTTCCACGATCAAAGCGTCACGCTGCGCTTTCAAATCTTGGTAGCGTTTCACCTGGCAGGGTATATTAGAGCTTATAGGCTTATGGAGCTTGTAAGGTTAATGGAGTTTAGGTCATCACCTTTGCCATTCGGTGGATACAACTGCCCTGACTTTCGTATGTAAGGCAATGTCTGCTGATGATACAGCCGACTCCCACGATGATGATGATCGTCAGAACATTCGTCATCATCGCTAGTCATCATGATGATGACGGCGATGCCGATGGTACACATGCTGACGATCATGGTGAAGTTGATGATGAGCAAGAGAACGATGGCTGACAGTGCCGGTACTGTACTGGTGATGGTTGGGCGAGGGCTGCCTGGCTGATGACAGTCTTCGGTTCCTTGAAACGGTTCTATAAGGTTGATGACAGTCTTAGTGTTCCTGTCAAAGGTTCTATAGGGGCTACAACTAGGGCTACTATAAGGATGTACTATAGGGGCCTTAGTAATTACAACTGGTGTTGGCGATCAACAACTCGAGATGCTTCGGAAGTGCAAGCCTAAAGCACTCCCAAATCAAAACTTTACCGAACCCCCGATCTCCCAATCTCAACGACAGCCCCGACAGTATATGGGAGTTTCCGAAATTAGGGGTACCTTATTTTGGGGTCCTTATAATAAGGATCCTACTATTTAGGGTACTGTATTAGGGTCCCCTATTTTCGGAAACACCCATATCTCTCACGGTGCGCGTTCTTTGCCTCTGCACGCTGAGAGGCGAGGAGTGCCAGGGTGTTCTCCGCTTCGCGGCGGTGTTGGAAGTGGAGCCTGGCCTGCCCGGGTCTAGTGCATTCTTTTGTGAACTCCTTCTTGATGGTTTAATGCATTTTTTTAGGGTTTAGGGTTTGGTGCATTTTTTAGGGTTCAGGGTTTTAGTTTGGGTTACCATACAATAGCTTTAGGCTTTTGTTTTGAGGGTTTAGGGCATAGTGCATGTTTTAGGGCTCAGGGTTTTTATTTAGGTTACCATACAATAGTTTTAGGTTTTTTTTGAGGGGTTATGGTTTAATTGGCCAGGGTTTAGGGGTTCAAGGGCTTGGGGCTTCGGTTTACGGATTCAGGGTTCAGGAAGGTAGGAGTGATAACATTCGTACAGGACTCATGCTAGCTAGGTGTCGATTGCACCAGCCCCAAAATAAAGTACTGTTAGAGATCAAAGAATTAAAGAACCGGGGAACTTGAAAAACTATCAAAATTCGATACCTTGTTACTCATACCCACCACAATAAGAAAATCCTGTAAGCATACAGATACGTACGAAGGGATGTACAGCAATCACCATGTCCATCTGGTGTATATAGGGTCTTGAATTAAGAGGTCGTACCAGGACTTTCGGGTTTTAATTTTTAATCTTTGGGGGTAATTAGTAGCAATAACAGTGCATCCAGGGAATGGGCCCCAAACTCTAAACTTGGCTGACGAGGGCCGAGGGTTCGATTTATCCTAAATCCTAGCACCCCTCGACAATAAGCCCTACTCTCTACCAGGAACCCCAAGGGCCCGTTAATAGAGCCCTTATGGTCCTTAGTAATATGGGGTATGTAGGGTATAATAGAGGGTAGTTGGGGGTCTATATAGGTTTAGGGCTTCATTCATGGCAACAGGCCCAAGGCTGCACTGATTTGCTAGCCGTAGGACGCATCACTTCCGGGCCATCAAGTCCAGAACGAGACCTCTGCCCTAAACTCCAAACCCAAGAAACCTACACCCCAAACCCTAAATAATCTATCAGCCCGAAACACCAGCCCCGGACCCGACTCCTAAACCGCTCTAGGAGTAGTTCAAACACAAGCCACAAAACCTAAATCGTGAAAGGGTTTTGAGTTCAGACTTTACTGTTTTGGAATCAACCGTCCATGCGCATCTCTGCTCGCCTTCTCTTGCGCGAGCTCCAACTCCTAGGCGATCGGTTGGACGTTTAAGGTTTCGGGTTTAGCTAGACCCAAGAGTAACGACCCTAGGAATAAAAAGGGTGCCCTTTTTGGTTTACAGGGGCTTATAAGGAAACCTGAACCCTACTAAAAGGGAATTAGGGCCTACTCCAGGTCCTAGGTAGGGTTTTTTCACCCAAGTCTGTAACCGGCAATCAGACACGTTGAACCCCACACCAAAACCCTAAACCCTAAACCCTAAACAGAAACCCTCAACCCTAAACTCTAAACAGAAACCCTCAACCCTAAACTCTAAAGGCCCCATCTACACACCCTGAAAGCCCTAAGGACTATAAATCCCAACAGCCCCTTAGAATTAAACGACACTAACAGCCCTAACGATAAACCCTGAAACCCACAAACCCTTAAACCTGACCCCATAAACCTTGCAAAGCCTGTACACCCTAAAAAGCCCTAAGTGCTAAACCCTCAAAACCCTACTAACCCAGAACGCCACGAATCCTATGAGCCCTAAACGTGACTCTAAACCCATCCCTGAACGCCAAACTGTACCACATGGGCCGTAAACCCCGAACACGGAGTTTGAGCCATCCCTCCGGGAACTTCATCGACCCAGGGTTCAACGTTAAGGGCGTCAAGGTTTAGGGCTTTAGGGTTTAGGGTTCGGGGTTTGCAGGTCTTTTGTTTCGAGTTTCGGGTTTTGCCTGTAGGGTTCAGGTCTCAACTCGTGCCCCTTATAGCCGGATAACTCGCCTTGGTGCAGACACCTCCACTCCAAGACTTTTGATGCTCTTCAGCACGCAAAGTAACCCCTATACCCCCCTTAGAACCATAATAAACATATGGGGTTTATGTTCTCTCGGGTTTTATATGGTTCGTAAGGAGACTATAGACCCAAATCCACAGAAGCGAGCAAAATTATAAATCCAACTTCCGCAATCCCCAACCTGTAGGCGCTTGAAGAGCCCGTGCAGCAAAGCTCTGAAGCTCGTTTACAGTTTAGCACCTTTGTGAAATCCCTAAACCTTGAAAACTGGAAGTTTAGGATTTAGGGATTGCGGATTCAGGGTTTGCGCTTTTCGGGTTTATGTTTGTTTTTTGGCTTTCGGGCCGTCCTTACGCCATGCACTTGAAAAAACGAACTTCCCTAATCCTTAATGCTTACATGTAAATCCTGTTAAACCCTTGCACTACCATAAAACACATCCGAGAACATCCTGACACCCCGAAACCCTAAACACCAGAAGAAGCACTGCGAAGCCCAACCCCTGCAAACCATATCCCTCAACCCTAATCCCTACCCTCCTTAGTTGCTGAGTTCATAAGCCCCAAAAAGTGTACTCTTTCAGTTTTAGAATTATCCCCAAAAGTGTGAAGTGTATCCACTCAGCTACTAAGCCTCTTCCCTAAACCTCAAACAACAGCACGGAAACCCCTAAACCCTAAACCCTAAACCCTAAACCCTAAACCCTAAACCCAATGTGGCAAAGGCCTTGGACAGCTTGATGTACTTGTCTTTCAAAAGCTCAGAGCCTCGGCTCTTGCTTTCTTCTATAGGGTTTAGGGTTTAGGAACTCTTCTGGGGCGCTGGATTTTTTCAGATTTGCTTACGTTGGCGTTGAGGATGTTGTTAGTTTGCAAGGCTGTGTTTTGTCTGCTTGATTGGGTTTTAGACGAGTTGCATGAGATGTCATAGGCACTTGCCGGGTTAAGAGTGCCTTGTTTCAGGGATTCCTGCGCTTTTGGCTGCTCCGCTTCTTTTTTCAAAGGCTGGGGAAGGGCTGTAGCGCAGGTGTATACGGTTGTACAGAGCTGAAACAGGATTGAGGGCTCTACGGGATTTTGAGGTTTAGGGTTCTCGAGCTTGGGGTTTTGAGGGGCTTCATCACGGCTGCAGGGGTAGAAACTTTCAAGAAAAAGCTGCACGGCTTGTTGAGTCGTGGCTTTGTCCTTCCTCGCGTCTTGAAAGAACAGTAATCGTTGAGAGTGTCTATGTTTTTGCCGAGACTTCCTCACAAAACCGACCCTGTCTCCAAATGATAAACAGTCTTAAACAAGCCAAACAACAGAGGCGTAAGGTTATCTTAACAAACTTCAGGGTTGTGGGTCCATCCCGAGCCCGGCCCCCCTGCTAAATCCTGACACCAGAACCCCTGTAGTCCCAAAAGTCGAGCTCTCAATCTCGAAGGCTGACGTCTCCACTCCGGAGCCCTCTAATGTATCTAAAAGCACCCTGATTTATGTTTTCGAAATTTAGGCCCGTGTGCGACAAGACCTTTCGCGTCTCACTTCGTTTCGGACTGGGCTCGCACGTAAAATATGGACCTCCATCATGCAAAAACACTCCAATCCACCTCATTGCCTCTCCTCTCTGAGCCCTAAACCCTAAGCCCCCTAAACCCTAAACGCCCTAAACCCTAAACGCACTCAACCCTAACAGCCCAAAACCCCTCAACCCTAAACCCTAAACGACCTAAACCCTAACAGCCCAAAACCCCTAAAACCCTAAACCCTAAACGACCTAAACCCTAACAGCCCAAAACCCCTAAAACCCTATAAACCCTAAACGACCTAAACCCTAACAGCCCCAAAACCCCTAAAACCCTATAAACGACCTAAACCCTAACAGCCCAAAACCCCGAAAACCCTATAAACGACCTAAACCCTAACAGCCCAAAACCCCGAAAACCCTAGACTCCCCCCCAAAGCCGACTTCCCCGACTGCAGCCCCGGCGCCTTTCGCTGGAAAGAGCTCCCCTTATTAAACCCTTATCCGAAGGTTAGGGGTACCTTTCAAGGGATCTATAAGGGTTCCTTTAAGGGTTCCTATAAGAGTTCTATAGGGTTTAGGGTTTGGGAGTTTCCGAAAAATCGGGGTACCTTATTTTACGGTCCTTAAAATGAGGATCCTACTATCTGGGGTACGACATTGTGGTCCCCTATTTTCGGAAACTCCCTTATAGATCCCTTCAAGGCACCCTTCAGGGAACCCTATAGGGGTATATCCCTTTTTAAATAGGAGCATTGAAACCCCTTAAACCCTAAACCCTAAAGATCCCTTATAAGAACCCTTTAAAGGAACCCTTATTGATCCCCTGAAGGGATACCCTTGAAGGAACCCTTCTAGATCCCCCACAAGAGATATTGGAGTCCCTGCGCCTTTCGCTTGAAAAGCTGAGGTCCATGCCGCTCAGGGCCTCCAGCGTAGCTGTAAGCTCGGTACCCTGCCGCCTGGTCGTCTGTTTAGGGTTTTGGTTTACATAGGGTTTAGGGTTTAGGGTTTTGGTGCTTTGGTTTTTTCAGGCTCCTATTTTAGGGCTGTTAAAGCTTTTAAAGCTTTTTTGGGTTCAGGGTCTAGGGTTTTAGGGTTTACGGAAGGATGTTAGGGTTTGAAGTTTAGGGTTTAGTGGTCGTAGATTTTACGATTTTACCCGTCCCCCCCGTTATTCCGTGCACATCGTCTTCTACCTACCGAAATTGAAACAGCATCAGACATGAGATGAGCCGTTAAATCCTGAATCCTGAACCAAACATCAGCTCTGAACTCTGGATGAACCGTCAGCACTAAACCAAAGCCTTAAGCCGTCCAGTACAGGTCCCCTCACACCCTTGGGTCCGGGGATTCAGTACTTAGTAGGGTGATACTTAGGGTAATCACAATTTCCGCTGTTCGTTGCGTATAGCCTCAATGCAGCCACTTTTCAGCCAGGAGGTGCCATGGTTTTAGGGTTTTACGGGTTCTACCCAGAGACTCCAATATCCCTTAATTAAGGAATATAGCTTAAATCATATGAAGGATCCTACTATTATATTCCTTAAGTAAGGGATATTGGAGTCTCTGGGTATGAGGATTCAATAAAAGGAAATCAGCTTTCAAGTGGGGGTTTGGGGTATTGGGAATGCAGCATTGCGAGTTGGAGCTTTAGGAAGTCCGTGTTTAGGGATTTACAGACTTGGAATGGAGGCTGATCAAGTTTAGTATCTAGGGTAAGGGATTGAGAGTTTAGGGATTGAGCGTTCAGGGTATAGGGTGAGGATTCAGGATATTCCTAGACCCGTAAAAACCTCATAGACCCCAACAACCTTAAAGACTGATAGCACGACTGAGTACTCCGAAAACTCCCAAGCCCCACACCTAACCCGCAACTCGCAATCCGAAAAACCCTGAACCCTAAACCCTAACCCCTAAAGCCTAATCCCCTGAACCCTAAACCCTAATCCCCGAAACCCTAACCCCTAAAGCTTCATCCCCTGAACCTAATAACCACTAATCCCCTGAACTCCAATCCCCTAATGCTCTATGTTAAACCTTTCTCTCCGAACCTCGCCATCTGCATCACATCGCCCTGGAAGACCAGGAAACTTCTGGCCTCGCCCGAAGACGAGGACGAAGACCGGTTTAGGGCTTTAGGGTTTTAAGGTTTTTGGGGTTTAGAGGTGTAGGGTTTTGGGGTTTAGGGTTTAGGGGTTTAGGGCTGAGGGTTTAGGGTTTACACTCTTGGGGCTTTCGTAGTTGTTTAAGCATTGTTTAAGGAACAGTTAGGGGATTAGAGCTGAGGGTGTAGAGCTTTGGGGCTTTCTTTTTACAAGAGGGTTGAGGGTTTAGTGCTTTTGGGTTTTCTTTTTGACAGAGGGTGTAGGGATTAGGGCTGAACGCTTAGAGGTATTGAGTTTAGGGTTGAGGGATGTTCGGGGATTAAAGTGTTTAGGGCTTGGGGTTTCGGGCCTAGGCTACAGACGCAAGCAAACGAATTCAACATCACAAGTCCAAGCCAACAACAAAGATGTAAAACCAGGGTACAAAAACCGACAAACACACACACGCACACGCACACACACACAACCGTGGATGTAACAAAAAGCGGGACAGCAGGACAGCGGCAGCACCAGCACCACAACAACCACCCCAATCAGCACCAGCACACGCAAAAGCGCAGCAGCAGCAGCAGCAGCAGCAGCAGCACCAGCAGCAGCAGCAGCAGCACCACCAGCAGCACCACTGCCGACACAAACACGAATGCAACTAACAAATACGAACTCATAAAATTGACCCCCAAACCTGAACCTCATACAATTGCACATACAGTTTTTACCTGGCTGGGCTCAGAGCTCGCACGAAGATGTTCTCCCCGGCCAGCTTTCTGGAGTATTCCTCGTAGCCTTGCTTTTAGGGGCTCGGTTGAGCGAGAGATTCGGGGTTTAAGATTTAGGGTTTGAGGTTCAAGCGAAAGGGTCTAGGGGTTTAAGGTTTGAGGGTTTAGGGATTAAGGTTGTTCAGGGTTCAAACGGGTTATGGGTTCATGGTTTAGTGGTTTATGGTTGAAGGTGTAGGGTTTAAGGTTCAGGGTGTAGGGTAGTGGCCGTTCATGATTCCCTTAGGAGATCTCTGCAAGCTTGCTTGGGGTCTTGACAACTTGGTCAGTAATAGTGGTCTCCAGGATTCCCTGTTAAAGACTAATATTGCCGATGTGGTATACCGCGTCTCAACACGTTTTGAGTTTTGGGTTTCGACTTTAGAGAGTTTCGAATGGTAGGTGCAAGGAGTTTGGGGGGATCCAGTGGTGTGCCGTGACACGCGTACAAGCGCTTTCTTCGTCCGGCATGCTGGCAGGCTGGGCAGTTGCATCCGCAACCTGTGATCCTGGTGATTTGTGTCATACAGTACTGGTTAGTACCGGTATCATCCCGTATAAGTATGTGTACGAAAGCTACGGCTTGTTGGTAGCAAGGCGGCTCTACTACCATGAACCGTGTTTAATATTCTCAGACATAGCACGTACTCTCCTGTGTGAGGCTTGATGCGATGGCTTTAGGGTCGAGATGGGCGTTAGACTTGGGTGCTTGATGGTGCTTGCAACTTATCGAAATTCGCTGTTGAGTTTGTGTGTGTATTGTTTTGCCCCTTTGTGGTTGTTGGCGTTGCTGCTGGACGGAGTTTGCTGCTCCTGCCACTGTCATCTCTGAGGCTTCTGTTGTTGCTGCTGCTCGTGCAAATAGGACATGTGTGGCGCAGGTTTTGCAAATCGATGGTGGTACATCATCGTGACGAGAAAGTGTTGCCCTTGGATGCCCTTGGGGTAGAGATAACTGACTATTGGGGCTCTTCTTAACTCTCGTTACCCCGATGTGTCGCAAATGCAAATGCTCAAAAATGAAGCTCTAGGATACCCAGTAACCTAAGCATAAAAAGGTCTCTCTTTTTGGTATTGGGTAACTTTATAAGGAACCTAGGACTACAAAACGGGAATAAGGGTACTACTGGGCATCCTAGATGAACCTGACACTGGCAACTTGCGCTCTGAAAAACCTAGGAGTATGTGACCCTCAAGAACTTCCCTTAAACCCTACCTGACCTGTAAGAACTGAAATCTGGCCCTTCCACCCTCCCCGAAGCTCTGAACCCTGAACGCTCCAGGGTTTAGGGTGTAGGGTTTAGGGTTTGAACCCTCAAGCCCTGAACCCTAAAGCTCTCAACCCTAAGGCGCTAAAACCCCAAAGGCCCTAAACTCCTAAACCAAAAAACCCAGAGACTCCAAGATCCCTCAGTTAAGGAATATACCTTAAATCGTAGTAGGATCCCTAACATGATGTAAGGTATATTCCTTAATTGAGGGATATTGGAGTCCTTGGGAACCCCTAAACCCCCCAAGTTCCTAAACTCCTAAACCCCTAACCCCTAGACCCCCAAACTCCTAAACCCCCAAACTCCTAACCCCCAAAGGCCCCACAGTTTCCCCAGGCTCTCCCTGAGCCTTCCTCTAAGCTTTCGGCTCACGGGGGTCATGGGCGCCTGGCGGATTAGGGTTTTAGGGTTTAAGGTTTAGGGTTTAGGGGTTTATGGTGTAGGGTTTAGGGGTTTAGGGTTTAGGGTTTAGGGATGTCAGCATGTTTTCGGGGGCCTCCAGAACAGCACATAAGCAAAGATAAGAATAGGGATATCCCATGTAAACCCCCCTTATAATGAAGCTCAATAAGGTGGGGATATCATGCTTATGCGTATGTGCTTTTTGGGTCCCTACTCTTAGAGTTTGGTAACTAGGATTAGGAGCTTACGGTTTTAAAGCATCGGGGTGTAAGGCTTGTGTAGGGGTCCAGAGTTTGCAGATCAGGGTTTGGAATGTAGAGATTGAAGGATTAAGGCGTTAAGGGTTTAGAGCTTAGAGTCTGGAGGATTGTGGTTTACGGTTTTAGGGCGAGGGGTATGGCCGGGGGTTTGTGGCTGGATGCTGGAGCTTGGAGTTTAGATCGTTTGTGTACAATGCCTATTCGCACTCGCAACCCAAAATAGGTAGCAGCAGAGTCAAAATGCTGACGATGACACGACCAACACAGCCTGAAGAAGAACCCTAAACCCTCAAAGGGCTCCAAAGGTGGGATGAAGGTAGGTGGGATATTCCCAATTAAGAGCCCTTAAGGGATCCTTCATCCTACCTACCTTCATCCCACCTTTTGAGGCCTCCGAAACCCTAACCCTAAGCTGCAATAAATCCTCAACCTCGGGTTTGAAACTCTGAACGGCCGCCTGATCGCCACCATAGCGGTAGATGCCCTCGCCTCTGCTGGTGACAAAGCGGCCTCAGACAGCAGATGGCGTTTTTCTCCCAGAGATCCCAATACCCCTTGATTAAGGAATATACCTTAAATCATAATATGAGGGCCTCTAAATTTTAAGGTATATTCCTTAATTAAGGGGTGTTGGGATCTCTGGGCTATACGAATGTCCAAGAAGCATAAGCCTGCTACAAGAGGTTGTACAAGGGTGGGTTTTCTGCAGGGGCCTGCATTACACCCAATACCCCAAAGGTTTAAGAGTGGGCACTCCGGTAAACAAAATACCGTTCTGATTCCATGTGCACAAAGCTCTTGGTACCGCCGGTTCTTAGGGTCAACGGGATCGCGGGTTTGAGGCATTATTATAGGGTCCCAAAAAAGCGCAAAAGCAAAACGTAGGATAGGGATATCACATATAAACCCCCCTAGCATGAAGCCCATTAAGGTAGAGATATCCCTATACGGTGCTTTTTTGGCCCTGAATATTAGGGTTTTAGGTTTAGGGGTTGAGACGAAGAGTTGGGGATGTAGATTTCGGATGCCACGTGCGACACCGTACATTTACCGAGCCCCACAACTCCTGATTGCAAGCCCCCACTCCTCAGGCGGGCGCCAAAGTACATCATAATCCCCTTGGCGGAGCGAAAGGCCATAACCACCTGAAAAATGATAAAGCTTCTGAGTTCCTGCTGGGGTTCAAGCTGCCAGAGGCTCAGGTGGGCTACAACGCAGCTTGATAACTCACATCAAACATGGCTAGTTCTCTAAATTAGCCTCCCCTTGCGGGGTCCTGTTTATAAGGGTGCCGTACTATGTGCGGGAGCTAAAAAGGGAAAACAACTTAGGGAACCACCCAAATGTACCGGCTGGATCATAGCATGGCCCTACAGTATCAGGATTCGGGGTTTGGAGCTTTAGAATATTGAGCTTAGGGGGTCAGGCTGCCGTGGTGTGTCTGAAACCTACAGCCGGAGAACTGAGAACCCACAACAGTTCGAGGTATTTGGGTGGCAGCCACGTCCTCATTCAGCCTGCGTAAACCCTACAGACCCTAGATCCAGCATACAGAATACCTTCCTCAAATGCTTTCCATACTGGCGTGAAGCCCCCAATAGCAGCGTTTTACAATCCATCAATCCGCAGCAACCAGAAATTCGTCTTCAGCTAACCTTGCATCTCCTAACAACCTAACTTAGCAACCGTAGTAATGGGTTTACAGTTTGGATGGTTTCTGTGCAAACTGAAGTATTAATATACTGAATCACCCGAAGGAAGAACATTGACGATTTTTCGATCATCTAAAACCCCCTTCAACCCAAAAGTAGTCTCATAAGCCATAACTTCCCCAAGCCTCGGCCTCTTCTGGGGTTCGCAGGGTAAAGGAAGGCCACCCGAGGAAGGAGTTTTACAGCCCCCAACCCCAAATAACACTTCACTAAACCCTAAACGGCCACAAACACTGGAACCCTGATACCTGGAACCTTGAACCCTTGAACCCTACCCTAAACTCTAAACTCTCAACCCTGAACCCTAATCCTACTTGTCGGGTATCATGGGGAACTAAAGGTTAACCTTTTTGGCTATATAGAGATTCTATAGGGGCTATACTACCCAAAAAAGGTTAAAGGTTGCCTACTCTACTTCTATCCAAGGGTAAAAGAAGAGACCCTTAATAAGGACCCCCACATATATATATATATATATATATATATACCTTTAATATAGCTATTATATACCCGTTATATAGCCCATTATAGGGGTAGGGGTCCCCATTAAGGGTCTCCCTCCTTGTCCCCTTTGATACTAGGTAAGTCCCAAAAGGACCCCATTTAAGGAGGCTTTATAGATCCCTTTAAAGGAACCCTAGGATTTATATCACCAACCGTATGAAGGGCCCAAAAGGCCTCGGCTGACCGAGTGTTCTGGTCCACCGTCTCCTCCTCACGACGGTAGACGAGGTCCTCCGAGGCTTTAGGGTTCAGGGTTTTAGGGTTTAGGGGTTTAGGGTTGAGGGGTTTAGGGTTTTAGGGTTTTAAGTTTTAGGGGTTTAGGGGTTTAGGGTTTTAGGGTTCAGGGTTTTAGGGTTTTATGGGTTTAGGTTTTTTTTTAAGTGCAATGTTTAGGGTTTTAGGGTTTTAAGTTTTGGGGTTTAGGGTTTCGGGGTTTAGGGTTCAGGGGTTTAGGGTTGAGGGCTTTAGGGTTTTAGGGTTGAGGGTTTAGGGTTTTAGGGTTTAGGGTCTTAGGGTTTAGGGTTCAGGGTTTGGGGCTTCAATTTAGGGACCAGGCGGCTCAGATCCGAAACTCCGAAGGGCTCTTCTTTTGCTTGAATTCTCGCAGGCCCTAAACCCCTTCTGATGAGGTCATTCCAGGGATTGTACATAAGGGTTTCTGAAGCCCTCTATGGTTATGTACCCAAGATGCAGGGTGTAGCGCTGCGGATTAGGATTTAAGACCATGTAAGGGCTCAGGGATTCAGGATTTGAGCCTGACATCCTACATGTCCCACAAAGACCCTGGGATGGTACATCTGCTGATCTTTCGAAGTCTACATGGCTTGAGACGAGTTTCTACAGGGTTTCTTGGGGTGTTCATGGACTGAGGATAAAGTTGTCAAATTCAGGGGTCTCCAAGGGTAAAAGGAGAGACCCTGAATCAAGACCCCTAGGTTTATACCCTTAATGTAGCTATTATATACCCATTATGTAGTCCATTATAGGGTAGGGGTCCCCATTAAGGGTCCCTCCTTTTCCCCTTTGATTGATAATTTACCCTAAGGCCCCAAAGTAGCTCCTTTTTTGGGGTTCGTATAGAATCCTGTAAGGTAATCCCAAAAAGGAACTACCCTCCTTTCCCCTTTGAGGGTCTGGAGCGTGGGATTCGGGGTATAGGGATGGAGTCTATGCGGCACAGGGGTTGGGGGTCTCGCTCTGCAGATCCGAGCCCGCCTAAACCCTAAACCCTAAACCCAAAACTCTACAGGGAACTCCAGAAAGTTGGAATATGGTTTCATGGTAGGATACCCTATAATTTACCATAGAAGGGTTAGGATAATCATATTCCAACTTTCCGGCTTTTACCTTAAACCCTAAACCCCGAGATACCCCGAGGGCCCGCTAAGAAAACCACGGTGCATCTAATACAAGCCGAATAGCGCACAATCTGAGGTGCGCGTCTATGCTTTACACGCACATGTATATGTAAGTATACGAATATGTTTATATGGACAAGACAAACCGTCAGCGTGTGCATATGCACACATACATATACCTGTACACATATAAACATACGTGTCCCCGTATTTGTGTATGTACGTGTCAATGTGTATTTGAAATCAGTTTGTTTCAATGCATGGTGATGTTTGTATCGATAGCTAAACGTGTATGTATGTAATTAATTTATACACCTGTGTGTGTATGTCTGTATGCATGTATGTACGTATGTATGCATGTACGTACTTACGTAGGTATGTATGTTTGCAGGTATGTGTGTAGGTAGTTAGGTCGATAGGTAGATCTGTATAGTTTTATGTATATACACCTTCTACGACTCGAAATCCCACCCCCGCATCACGCGCCAGCGGATCTGCCTTCAGTCTCTCACCTCTCAGATGCTTGGTCTTGATGCCAAGGCAAAAGCTGATGGCATCCTGTCATGCAAAGATGTTGAGGGCATAATCGGGTTCTCTAGTGCATTTATGGAAGTCAGTCTATATGGGGGTTTCCGACAATGGGGGACCAGAATATGGTACCCCAACTAGTAGGATCCTTATTCTCAGGACCCCAGAATAAGGTACCCCAATTTTCGGAAGTTCCCATACCATTGGGCTTTTGGGGTTCAGAAGTTTAGGGCGGATGTGGCTCCAGGGCTAGCAATAAAGGGTGCGAGGGTGGAATTGTGCATCAAGTTGGGGCTTGGGTTCTTGTTCCAGGACACCTGCCTTTGGTGTTTCAGAGTTCGGGGTTCTAATGTTTCGGATTCTCTAGGGTTTTGTAGGATTTCAGGTGCAGGGTTGTAGGGGTTAGAGTTCTGTTTTGGCAGTTGGAGGTTTCCAACCCCGAAACCCCTAAACCCTGAATCCTTGAAGACTCAGAAGGCAGCCGCACGAATTATTGAAATTGATACATAAGATCATAACAAAGCATATCCCTGCAAATCTGAGACGTGGAACCTCCTCCAATTGCGCTTTAATTAGGCCCGGGGTTTGGGCTTGTGGCTTCGGGATGTTTGGGGTTTGGGTATTGGGGCCTACGAGGATAAGGGTCATGAAGGGCTTAGGATACACTCTAAACCGGCAAACACAGGCCCCGCGCCATAACGTTGGACTTGCCAGAGCCGTTCGGGCCGATAATGCAGGTGAACTTGTCGAAGGGACCTGATATAAGCGCCGGAATAATTAGAACAGGGATTGGGGGCCCGTTATACTATAAATATAATGAGGAACCCCCACAATAGTCTAGGTAATTATTTAGGCCCTATATTACTTGGCTCCGGGTTTGGGACTCTAGGGATTGAAGCTGTAAAGGTCTCGGGTTTCAGGGTTTATAGGGTTTAGGGTTTAGGGTTTAGGGTTTAGGGTATAGGTTATAGGGTAATCGTAGCAGCAGTAGTCGTCGTAGTGGTGCTGCAATGGTCGTACCAGTACTAGCACTAGCACTAGTACTCGTGCCAGTACTTTTGAGGCTTAGCCATGCTCAAGTAGCACGTATGAGAGTGGTCCAAGCGACTTTAAGAGTGCTTGCGAAACTTAGGGGAACGATCTAACACGAGGATCGTGGCATCTCGGGCCGATGTGGCGACCCTGTATTTTCTGTGACTACAGTTCGGTGCTAAGCTTCTCTGAAGCAGGAGCACCCTTAGACTTAGACCTGTGAATCAACCCCCGCGGCACCGAGACAACAAGCTGTGTCCATGAAATTGTGATTGCTCAGATGGCGCTGTGTCTGCCCTTAGGCTCTTTGGAGGACACCAGAGGTATTCCCACTACCTGAGTGGTCTGTCCCGTAAGCTGATAACCTGCCGCAGGAAACCCCGAAGCTTTTGCGACAGTGGAGCCAGGCCTATTTCGTGTCTTCCAGCATACGACTTGAAATTCTCGATGACCAGCTTCTCCACGCGGGCCATCGAAGCGGGGGTGTCCGCCATCTTTGCGACGTCTGGGAGTCTAGGAACCACACCTTAAAGCTTCTCTTGGCACCTCTAGGGGTTCGTGCAAGCGCTGCAACAAGCAGTCTGTAATTGCTGCTGCGTGTGTGGAGCCGTGGATTCACCATGCACCACTCCCAAGTAACTATCGCCACTCATGGTATGGTGAGGCCAAACGGCCCGCAAAGCATCGGATCTCTGCTTGATGGAGCAATGTCGCGCCGGTGCCTACAACAGTACTGCGGTGTTCACCGCGTCGGTTTAACTAATGTAAATCATGATTATGTGCACGAATTGCATGAGGTTGTGCACACACGATGCAGACAACACTATTGCATGCTCTTGGTCACTAGCTTCCATGATCAGTCAGCTTTGACATGGTACTGCAAGGAACAGCTGCGGCATGTGGCACTTCAACAGGCCCTGAACCCTTACTCCCCCTAACAGCACAAATCCTAAAACATCCTAAACCCTGGCACCCGGAGCCCCTAAACTCAACGACCATAGAGTTTATAGATCCCTGGCAACACCCTGATACACACCCCATAGAGACCCTAAGCATGTGGAACCCGCACAGCATCCGAAAAACCGTGAACCCTGTTTGGTTCGGGCTTAGACGCTTCTCCAGGGCCCTGAACCTGCTGTAAGGCTTCAAGGCAAAGGGCTTGGGGTCTGGGTTTAGGGTTTAGGGTTTAGGGTTTAGGGTTAAGGGTTTAGGGTTTAGGGCATAGGGTTTAGCGTTTTTAGTCCAGAGGGCTTTGGGGTATTGGGTAGAGGGTTTTGAATTGGGGCGTTTTTCATAAGGCTTCTCGTTGTGGCCTTTAAGGGGGCTACAAGGGCTTCATGAACGGTCTTGATTGTAAGGGGGCTGATACATAGGGGATTGCAATGTCATTGAAATGGCCTGCTTCTCTTTTCTTACGTGGGCTTAGGAAGTGGGGTTCAAGGTTTTGCGGATTCTTAATGTGTAGGATTTGGATTTGACGGTTGACATGAAGACAGGCTTTCATTCCTATACTATAGTATCCACGAAAAGACACCGCAAAAAACAGAAGGATTTGGGTTTGACGGTTGACATGAAGACAGGCTTTCATTCTTATCCTATAGTATCCACGAAAAGACACCGCAAAAACCAGACTCACCAATATTCCTAGTAGGGACCATACAATATTCAATATGCGTAAACGGTTCGATTGTAACGTGGGGGACTTAATAATTAGAACAGGGTTTTAGTCTAATTGTAATGAGGACCCTAGGGAATAATATTGGTATATTTTCGGCCCCTAAATTATATTAGGCCACCTTTCTATTTCCCAACCGCAGGACGACTGATCCTGATCGGGCCGGATGGACAGTCCCAGCGGGTCCTAAGTACCTATGCAGTAGCATGTAGGGATTCTATATTAGGAGTTACTGCTACCATTCGAGGAAGTATCCCCCCTAAGCTCATAAATCCCAAACCCCTAAACCCTAAAGCCACGTAACCCTCCTAGGACCCTCTGGGAGAGGAGTTCGGGTGACTCCAGAATCACCGGCATGCTGTTCCAGCGCCTCGTCGGGGAGTGGCCCTCATGTCAATCACCTTACTCTCGAGTGCTCCCATGCATGTACCATACTATGCGTTTAGTATAATGCAAAATACTATACTGTACTATACTGAACTGTACTATACTGAATTATACTATACTATACTAAGCTGGCTATACTGCAAAAAACGCAATGTGCCAATATGCGTTACTATACTATACTAGTGGTCTAGGGTTAGGCGCGACACAACATCTTCTATTTGCAACAAACTTTCGGGCGCAGCGAAGCCTTGACTGCATGCGGATGCACCTAGAAGGTGAGACACAAGCACTCGCTTTGGGGTGCCGTGAGACGGTTAGCAAGGAAACATGGATCCGCGCGAAGAATGGAAACTATCCATGGATGCTGCTACTTTTTGATCCGAACCTCAACAGGACACCGTCGCTACGATTGGCAAGAACCGCTGGAAATTCTTGTGTTACATGACATATACACTGTAAACCTTAAACCTCAAGCTACTATTCGAATACGTACACCTGAGGCACCAATGTGTGGGCTTACGGCCTACGATTTGCAGTCACTACTCTGTGCCACATGCCATATACACTCTAGACTCTAGACCTTAAACCTCAACGCACTTCGACTACACCTACGACTACACCTGAGCACCAATGTCTGGGCGTACGGCGTATATACGATTTGCAGTCACTACTAAGACTTGTTGTGAACATGACCATCACCTAATCTACATCCTTATGCTGATGATAACAGTGGTGGTGAAGACCAGAAGTCATGAACCACACCATGATCTAAATCCTTAGCAGGGATCGGTTTCTAAAAATTTAAACGACCTGATAAACCGTTCCTAGAGGGCCATGGGAAGTATGAGCGGTTAATCTCGGGCTGCCTGTCTGCAGGGGAGGGTTGCAACCGAATTGGGGTTCCTTTTCAGGAAAAGCAAACCTGCGGTTTGGATTTGTATCCAGGAGCTAAACTTTAACCCGAAATTCTAGCCCTAACGCATACGACCGAGAAGTATAATTCTTTCAGGGCGTCCCATCCTTATTTGCCGAAGCAACGTCTTTGAGAAACGTTAAACGCCCAAACTCCAAATCCCATCACAAAGAGCGCAGGGCCAGTTTACATTTTTGCTGTTTTAAGGGTATCTTCCTGCACGCCTTTATTTGAATCATGAACTGAAACCCTAAACCCAATTGCCTTTGTATCCTTTATTGACCGTTTCTTCCCGTCAGAGGGAAGTTGTCTCGTCCGCGGCCCGCTGACGTGCCTGGGTGTACCCCCGAAGGGTACTCACCTGCGAATCTTTTGCTTTCAAGGATCCGAGGCCCAATGACCATCATGCCAACACTAAAGCAACAGTAAGATATGAATCATGTGCCTTCACACGGGCGCCATATGGCAGTTTTCTCAAGCGGCTCGTACTATTCGCAGCAGTGACAAAACGAGTAGTAATATCAGTACTCAAAACACTGCTGACGACATGTTCACATAACTCGTATGGATAGCACTATTCATATAAGCCGACTTCATATGAGGTGCTGCTATAAAAACCACTACTACTAATCCAAAACAACGTATTCGAAACATAACTGCAATACTAACCTACTCTTTGCTTAAGAAACCCTCAAAAAATAGAAATAATAATCCCTATATTACCCCCATAAGGAATATATTTCTTATTTTTGGGGGGTTCTTAAGCAAATAGTACTAACCACTGGGCAGTTCTGGAAACTGAGGTGCCTTCTCTTTTAGGGTCCATTTTAAAGGGTGCCGCCTCCTTTTCGGGATTCTCCCCAATTCAGAGAACTACCCAACCCTGAACCCTAGACCCCAATAAGCCCTAAACCCCAAACCCGAAACCCTTAATCCTAAACAAAACCCCAAACCCTGAACCCTTAACCCTAAACTAGACCCCAAACCCTAAACCGAACAGTGCCCGGCCATGTTCGTCATCTCTTCGAAGTTGGAGGTCAGCCTCTTGGCCATCTGCTTCAGGGCCTTCGGTTCCATGACAGGCAAAGGTTTAGAGCTGCTTAGATTCCTTGAGGGTTTGGGGTTTAGGGTTCAGGGTTCTAAACCCTAAACCCCTCAACCACAAAACCCTAAGCTTGAGTTTAGGGTTTAGGGGACTTGTGACTGCTCTGTTTTCAGGTTCTTTAGCATTCCGTAGGTTCCGTAGAGTTGATGAAAGCTTCCGCGCTCGCCGCACTGTCGCTCCGCTGGGCTTTGGAGTTTAGGGTTAATGCTTTTTTGGTTTAGAGTTGTTAATTTAGGGTTCTGTTCAGGGTTTTAGGGTTATGGTTTCGGGTTGAGGTGTGGCAGTTCAGGGTTTTGGAGTTTCGTTTGGGTTTCACTGGGTTTAAGCCCTGAAGGCTCGAGGGCTTCGTGTAGTGTTTAAGGCTTAGGTTTTTGTTGGTTTTGGTGTTTAAGGCTTAGACGGCTGAGGGTTTGGGGATCGGGGGTTTAGAAGCTTCGGGTGGTGTTAGGGTTTAGGGTTTAGGGTTTAGGGTTGGCAAGTTGAGGATGGCACCCCTTAAGCCCGAAACCGCTAAGCTCAAAGCCCTACAATGCGAAGCCCTGCAGCCCTGAACAACCCCCAAACCAGGACCCGTCATAGCATCCCTTGATATGATCTCTTATAGCACCCTTAACGGAACCCATATCCCTGAAAGCCCTACCCACGGTTTCCCCTGCGCCTTGTGCTCTTGCTCCGAGCTGGCCTCGAGCAAAGAGGGATAAGGGCCTTGGGGTGTAGGGTTTGGGGTTTAGGCTTTAGGGGTTGAGGTTTAGGGTTTACGGTTTATGGGGTCTGTAGAGTCGTAGAGTTTGGGGGCTCCTTGAAGGGTACCTTCAAGGAGGACAGTCTCTTTTATGGGAGTTAGGATTAGGGGGACCCTCGGGGATATAGACCCTCTCAATAAGGCCCCTTTTAAGAGAGCCAGAAGTCGGGTTCGGAAGGGGTACCCTCTAAGGGGTCTCCCTCATCATGCTACCCGTTTGAGGGAGAGAGGGAGAGGGAGAGAGGGAGAGAGAGAGAGAGAGAGAGGGACATGCACGCACACACATACGGAGTGAGTGGCAGCGTTATTGCGCAAAATGTGAGTGCCTATGGCTGCAGGTGTGACCGACCGAAGTGGGTGGTTGTCAAAATTATGGTTCCTTTTTGGGTATCCTAAATATTAGGTGCCGTACTATAATAGGGATCCTATTTTTGACAACCACCCAAGTCTGGGAATGGAGGATTCGAGGCTTAGAGTCTGTAGGCTTGGAAACGTTATTTGCCGGGTCGTTGCATGCGAGGGAGTCAGGGTTTATATCTTGTGGTGCAGGTGCGAGCATCGGGTTAAGAGCACACGAACAAGCCCCACACTCAAACCGAAATCCAAGGTCTACAGTATCAGCACATTGCTCCCAGAAGCAGGATGTTGCCTTAGATATTTGTGCTTAGGGGG